TTTATTGAGGACATGAAGAGCAAAAGAGCTTTTAAAGCATGATTTATCTCGTTCGTTAACTGTTGAACATTTCAGTCTGCAAGTGCTGAGGCTATTGTTCTGCCTTTAAAAGAAGGCTCATAATCAGCTGATAGTAAAAAATGAAGAATAAAACAACAGATATTCATAGGTATGTTTTAATACCTGCCAAGTATTATATAGCTGCAATTTTAATTAAAACAAAAAAAAATCTGCTTCTTTAAAGTAAGGGTTTACAACTCGGCTGTAACTTCTAGAAAATTGTGAAACTAACATTTTCCAAGTATTTTCTACTGTTGACAAACCGCAGTCGTTACATTGTAAGGGAACTGGAATTAAACCTAGTATAAAAATCAGCAGCAGCAGCAGCAGCAATCTTCAGTTGAGAATAACTGCTTTGTGAAGGTGCTTGGAATGAGTTTGCAATGACTGTGGGGAAAATGTTTTTTGTATGTGATTCAAGACTGAAGTACTCGTACCCAAGCGTTTTTTTGATGAAATAAGCTTTCATAGGATATGGTGATTCTATTCAATGATCATGCTGTTTATCACCATTAATTATTCCTGATAAATATGCCTACTGAATGCAGTACAGGAGTATATTTGAGTGCTTGAAAATCTGCTACATGGGAATCAGACTCCCCAACTCCCTCCATAAGGTCAGAGGATTGAGAATGAGGGTAAGAAGAATGAAGCATTCAGGGACAGAGTGTGGGTCAAGAAGGACCTCTTCAAAAAAAGGAATAATTTATATCACAAATGTGGACCGTACTAATACCACTCATTAAAGCGATGCATCAGCACGGTGTCCATCTTACTTTTACAGACTTCTAAGACGTTAAGTTCCTGCCTTTAAAAAAACAACAGTTTAAGCAGCAAAGGAGAAGAAGGCTGATCAGATAAATCAGTCAGACTATACTAGTTGCAGCAAGTCTGCTTTTCAGCAAGCTTTGAATTTAGCTTTTATTATTTTACTGTAACTTTAGTTTAATTAAAGTGTTTAATATGAAGTAATGTCACAGAAATAAAACAAGAGAATTTGGCCCTCATTCTGAGACAAAACAGTTTTTTCTTTGTGTTTCCAAGGCTATGCTATGATTGGAAATTCCTTTAAATAATCACAAGTATTTTGACAGCGTGCCCACTTTTATCTCCACAGACACAGCTTTCTTTATCTTAAATGGCACTAATCCATGAGCCTTCAAGGACAGAGCTGAGACTGAAACTGTTTAAATACAGAAAAGTTTAAATAATTTATCATTAGAAAATAAAGTCTTGGAAACTTCCATGAAAATACTTGCTCAGGTCAACTGAAATAATAGGGTTTTAAAGATGATTTTGAAATGTTTCACTTCAAAAAAAAATTTTTTAAGTCAAAATTTATCATTTATTTATAAACTGAAATTTTCAAACTGTATGGAGTAACTCATATAAAGAAATAACATGTTTCAACAATTATTCAGCTTTTTTAAAATCTCAAATGAGAAACTGGCTAAAACCACTCTTTTCTACAAAATTTGATACTTCTGTGTTTTCCATCAACAACGGTCAGTTCACTGTATCAGGAGTTTACAGTTACACAGTTGAGGTTGCAAGTTTAGAGGAAGATAATGCCACAGTGTAAAAGTTATTAGATAGCAAATATACTTGTTAAAAGTGCTGACACTTTTGTTTCTATTTATTATATCAATTATTAAACTTGTGTTTAACATTACAGATCTTCTTCTGTTTTGTTAAGTGTTTCAAAGAGAAATGCTGTGGATGTGTCTAGATGAGTCTTCTAGTTCAGAGCAGGAGTGCTCTTTTGAAGCAAATCTCCCTCGTCCCCATTTAACGTTCATGGGTTTGCATTACAGAACGGTCTCAAAGCACATGAACCAGATTCCTTTAGGGTGAAACTAAACTGAAGATGTATTCTAGGAATGCACCTCAGGTAGGCCAGCTGCAAACAGGCATTCTAGCTATGGGACAAGGCTGGAGTTAGTCCAAATTTTAAAAAATCCCCTGGAAGGGGTATGCATATCAGCTCCTCAGCACCAGCTGCTTCACTGACCCAATCCTATTGGACTGCGGTGCTTGCTAATGTAGACAGAGCTTCTATGCCCTGATCAAAAGTGCACTGAATTTGAAATACGTTCCCAAGAGCTTGTGGGAAGCAAGTTAAAAGTCATGCTAACTATTACTGACAGCTGGATAATTTCTGCAAGGGACACAATAAAAAAAGATAGAACCTTCAGTTCCTAGGTACTGAAAATGTGGATTTCACTTTTTCACTAATAAAGAAAGAACTTAAAACCATTATCAAACCGAATCCTCATTGGTCCAACACTTCTCGATTTAGGGATAAGAGTTGACTGGAATTTAGGAGGGTTTATTGCTTATCCACCTATTCTTAGATTACAACAGCAGTAACTGCAGTCAGGGGATATTAACAACCCAACCTGGGACAGCATAAAATCTTTTATCTGCCTCACAAAGATATAAAGATCTCTTGCTTACCATCACTCCTGGGATTGCATGCTGGCATAAAGGGCAACAGACCGTAAAGCTACAGGGAACCACCTTGAACAATAAAGCCATTTAAGAGCTGGAAGTAGGCATTGTCACAGCACTGTTTTAAGAACCAATCAACCACTTAAATAAAAACTTAGTATCACCAAAGTTGGTGCATCGTCCCAGTGCCCGAAACAGATTAAGCAATGACTGCTCTGTGCTTGCTCCTACAGCAGCTGCAGGCTGTATCACAAGGTGCGTGGACATAACATTCCCAGCAAACCATACCTTCAGTTACCTTCCACTACAAAAGCTGCTGGGTAATAGTGGTGCTGCTTCAGAACCACAGGAGCAGATTAATTATAGCAATCATAACTTATCAAAGAAATATTGTTCTATTTTTTTCTTGTCGTTTTGTAAGAGGATGACAAGATAATTTAAAGAGTCACAAAGCTTACAGTAATCTATCACTCAGTAAGCTATCCCTGTCTTAATCACTCAGTGCTGCCTAACTGATAATTCATGCTCACAGGAAACCTGTCCCCGAGCATTTAAAAAAAACGGCAGTGTTTTGGCAGCGATACCAAACAGAACCACTCCTCTGGGATGCAGCTAACGGCAACACC